GGAGGCTGAGGCAGGAGGATCGCTTGAGCCCAGGAGTTTGAGGTTGCTGTGAGCTAGGATGACGCCATGGCACTCTAGCCTGGGCAACACAGTGAGGCTCTGTCTCAAAAAATAAATAAATAAATAAATTACCAATACTGAGATCATATAAAGGTGCTTTGTTAAGTAGCATTCACACTCTAGCTTGTATAACATGCTCTTTCTCGTTTCCCCCCGTTTTTCATTGATTTAGAAAACTGTGGCTGAAAAGCAGGAGAAGAGAAACCAGGATCGCTTGAGGAGGAGAGAGGAGAGGGAACGGGAGGAGCGGCTGAGCAGAAGGTGAGCCTGGGGCGCTGGCATCGGGGAACCCTGCCCCATCCTTTGAATTGTTGCTTGGAATAGTCAAAATCTACTAAATACGATGTGGCTGTTACAAGAAAAATAAGTAAACTCGCAGCATATTCAGTCTGATGGAGTGCAGGCAGGCCCAGGACTGTGTGTGTAGTTGCCAGCGAAGGGCTCTGGGGCCCAGTGGTTAAAGGCAGTGTATGGACTCTGGCAGTTGACTGAGTGCTGGGAGGCCATCTGCACACAGAGGATGGGCGGGCAGCAGGTGCCTGCACCCTGTGGAGAGCAGTTGGGGTGGAGGCCGTGGAACCTGGGGGAGCTGGTTGGAGGGACCCAGGTGAGTCTGGGCATGTTCTGAGATTAGAACGGACAGGATTTGCTGGCAGTGTGTGAGGTGTGCAAAGGAGGAATGAAGCTGGCTTCCTGGTTTCTGGCCTGGAGTTCCCTAACTTACTAGGGCAGCAGGGGAGACTGGGAGAAGTGTTTGGGGTAAGGAGGAGGTGAGGTGGGAAGTAGAGTTTGCTTCTGGCCACATTCAGTGTGAGATGCCGTGTCTAGGGGGAGACTGTGGTTGGAGTGCAAAGTAGAGGTGGAAGCCAGAACTAGCCATGCCCTCCTTCCTGAAGGACAGCTCATTGTCCTCGAAAGTTCTAAAAATTGTGCTTTCCAGAAAGAATTCCTCAGTGCATAACTCAGAAGAGGCAAATGTTTATTGTATTTTGTGTTTCTTTTTATCGTTTCAATTATCTAGCAGTAGATTCTGATGGTAAAGAGACTCAAACAATATGGAAACTTACTAAGCAAAACACACAGTTCCTTTTTGCACAGAGGTGACGGATGTCGTAATTGTACATGTTTGCACGCAGTCGAGTTTTAGGCCACAAAAACTGCAGGTGCTTGTGGGGCCAGTTGTCTTTAATGGCTACACAGTGCTCTTAGAATGTGTGTAGAGTGAGACCTCGAAACGTGCCTTTTTCAGGTTGCTGGCTGTGTGGCAGTACAGGCTCGTGTGACCCACCTGGCAGTAAGCCTGCATTTGGAACTTAGAGCTTTACTTTCACTTTGGTATCTGTTTGTTGAGTTTAGGTTCGTGCCTAGCCCAGTGTCTGTCCTGTGTCTGTGCGTTCTGTGCTAGTATCCATTGTAAAGACTTTGGAGAGCCATTTAATGAACTCCAGTGCAGCACAGTTAACCCTCAGCATGCACAGATTTCCTGTGCCCTGTAACTTTGCACGGCTGTGTCTGACGTCTGGTCCTGAGGTGCCACTAAGTGCCGTGGAGTGGCTGGGGGAGGAGCCAGCCTTCTCCCGCGGGCAGTTTCTCACTGCAGACTGGGGATAAGCAGCTAGAAGACAACAGGTCTTAATGCAGGTAGTTATGCACCTCTGGGATTTGGGACATCTCCTGTCAGAGGGTGACGAATGGGGGTGCTTTTGGGAAATTGTTCACCTTTTTTCCCTTTTTAGGTCTGGATCAAGGACCAGAGATCGCAGGAGGTAGGTTTCCAGATCCATTAGCGTGTTCTCAAACGTCTTTTTCCTTGAGCATTTTTCTTAATACTTTTAACCTCATGATTGTAATCTGGTAGGTAGGGTTGGCTCGTGAAGGGCACAAGGCATAGGGGTTGCTTGTGGCTTAGCGCAGTGGGCGGATCCACTGCTGATGAGCGGGAAGATCTGAGGGTGACCAGGAGTGTCCAGGCTAAGTGCTTTTAGGAGGCATCCTTAGGTAGGGCCTGCCCTCAGATTAACTGATAGGAATACATTAATCCTAAATTGTAAATTTGTAGGAGGAAGGAGGATTATGTTAGTAAAGCAGTGAGCAGAGCTTCCTGAGAGGAGGGGCCTTGCGGGGTGGGGCCCTTGGGTGTCAGTGCCTGTGGTGTCTCCATCCTCAGAGCCTTCTGATTGTTCTAGGTCACGCTCCCGCGACCGGCGTCGGAGGCGGTCAAGATCTGCATCCCGGGAGCGACGGAAGTCTTCCCGTTCCCGGTCCCGAGACAGACACCGGCGCCACCGCAGCCGTTCCCGGAGCCACAGTCGGGGACACCGCCGGGCTTCCCGGGACCGGAGTGCGAAATACAAGTAACTACTCTGACTCCTTCAGTAGCTGCAGCCAGGAGTGAGCCCCTTCTCTTTGTGTTCCCAGGGTCTTCTGGGATCTGTCAGCAGGGCCCTTGGCCTGTCTGGTAGGGCCAGGGCTGGGCTTGCACTCAGAAGTGTGGCTGGATGTCTGTGGGTCTGAGTGTCAGGGCTATGGGGAATCTGTGGGCTGTGGAGGTGCTCACACAGCACTGCGGGGACTACACGCGCACCTCCCAACTTGAGCTCTGGGCCCCTGTGCACTGTTACTGATGCGCAGAGTGGCTAAGACTCATGGCCTGGCCAGGCCCTGTTTACCTCTGTGGGTTTTGATTCTGGGCTTTTTTTCCATTTTACATGGTGGATTGTATTCCATGTGTATAATCTCATTGTATTTTCCTTTGCTCCCTTTATGTTAAATGAGGGCTTACCTTATTAAAATCTTTGCAAAGGTCACTTTTTAATGGCTACCCAACATTCTCTGTGCAGGGGACAGGCCTGGCTGCCCTCCAGCCTGCCGTAGCTTCCTGGGGTGCGGTGGGTGCGTGGCCCTCCCTGGCCTGGTGCTGAGGCCCACACTGTCGTCTTGAGCAGCCAGCCAGGAAGGGGCCAGCAGCCTCCACTGAGCTTCTGGTTCCCACTTCCCAGGTTCTCCAGAGAGCGGGCAGCAAGAGAGGAGTCCTGGGAGTGTGGGCGGAGCGAGCGGGGGTCCACTGACTGGAGACTCGAGAGCTCCAACGGGAAGGCGGCTTCACGGAAGTCAGAGGAGAAGGAGGCCGGCGAGATCTGACCCCACACCTGGGCTTTGTAAATAGTCTGACAAATGTTCAACACAGCCTAAAATTACCCTTTATATTTGCTGAAAACAGCTCATCTTTTGTAGTTTAAAATTTCTATTGTTTTGGAGCTAGCTGTGAGTTTCTAGAGTTGTACAGAGTTGCTCCTGTGTTCTGGGGTTGTGTTGAATAGGAATAAATAAACCTGACGGACTGCTTCCTGATGGCTGCGGTGGGGGTCTGTGCTTCCTCTGCTCTAGGGACTTCACCTTGGCCGTCTGCAGGGGGAGGTGACCCACTGGTGCTACCGTCATCCCAGAGAAACTGCGACTCACTGTTGGGTACCTTTCAGCTTTTGGCACCTGGTACGTGCCAGGTGTGCACGGCGGCTCACTTGGTTCCACACACCCTTTCTGAGTGTCTGAGCTGCCGTCTCCACCCGCAGTGCAGACCAGCGAGCTCACTCCACTGGGGAGGAGGGAGCTGCTGTTATCACAGCCTCAAGCTGGGACTCTGGCTTTCAGAGCTGTGCTGCAGTTCTCCTTTCAAAGGTACTTAGGTTAAAGAAAGACCGTGGATACTACCCACATGGCAGCAGGAGGTCCTCAGAGGAGAGGGATGCTGGCTTTTGGGTCAGACGTCCCTTGGGCATTGTTGGAGTTTGACTGATGCCCAAGGTGGGCCGGTCATGTTACCCACTCTCAGCTCTTCTGCTCAGATACCTTAAGACCAAAATGAAACCCTTCTGAAAAGGATGACTGCTAACTGACTTGTAGATATGGATGCTCCTTCCCTTCTTCACTTTTCTGGGGGAATTTTTGGTTTATTTTTAGAGGAAGCCTCTGGTGGTCACATCATCAACACAGAGCCATTCCCATCCCCTGTCTCTGCAGAGGCGTAAGTGCCATCCTTGAGCTGAGTGCTCACAGGGCGCACGTGGGCACCGGGGTCTGCGTCCTGCAGCCACCAGCGTCTTGTTGTGGCCGATGTTCTGCTTGTGGTTCCCCCGCTGCTGCCTGTGACAGTCTTCCCCGGCCAGCCGACTCCACAGGAAGAGGTCAGGAGGGGGTGTCCTGTGCAGGACCCACTTGGGCTTGGTGCCGTGCCAGGCAGTGTCACCGTATGTCTCTACTCCTTACTAGCACCTTTTCCTGCAGTGGGACCAAGGACATGGGGTCAGGGTGTGTGCTCTCCTGGTCTCGGCTCCCTATTCCCAAGCCAGCATTGTGGGAGTGGCTGTGGCTGCCAGGGCCATGGGTTTGGTTGCATCCTGGCTCTCCTGGGGCTTAACCAGACGGCCCCACCCTCAGAGCCATTACCACTGCGAGTGGTTTGGATCCTTCTCTATCTAGACATAAATTTGCGCGTGTGGACAATCAGTTGTGTTTTGCTTTTTTTTTGGCCAAGGAATGAGGTTTACCAAAATAGGTACTGTACCAGTGGCTTCCAGTACCCACATCCCCTCTGTCCTTTGGTTACAGCCGAGGGACGAGTGCCTTGGGCTGCAGTGTCTGTGCCTGGGCCATCCCTGAGAGCCCTAGGCTGGTGCAGCCTTCTGGGGCACCCTCCGTGTTGGGAGAGGCAATGGGGTACATGCTGCTGCCTCCCTGCCTTGCAGGGACAGTTCTGTGGACCTTTGGTACACCTATCAGGTGGTCCTGGCCAGATTGAGCTCCGTGCCCTCAGGGCAGCCTTCACGATGCACTCAGGACGGCTCTTCCTCCCTCCCGCTCTCGTTGCTGCTCCCAAACATACTGCCCGCACCAAAGTCTACTCTAGAGTCTGCTACAGGGGACCCACATCTTCAACATTACAGTGGGTGAGTTCTTCCTGTCCACAGCAGTGCCTGTCAGTCTTGCTGAAGGCGGGCAGTTGGGGGTGGTGTGAGTCTGGCAGGTGCGTCCCTCCTGTGTGAAGGAACCTGCAGTGTCAGGAGGGTCTCCCAGTTGGAACAGACCCAGTTTCTCCACCCACAGGGATACCACCACCTCTGCCTGCAGCCCAGGCTGGGGCAGAACAGAAGGGGCCTTGCTGGAACATTCTCTGCTTACACTGTGGGAAGACTTTTCCACACATGGGTGACTTTTTTTAAAGAAAAGCAGGGTGAATGGCTCTGCGTGGCGGGTGGTATAAGCTGGGCAGGGGCTGTGCCTGGCGCCACCACCTTTTCCTCCTGCACAGGGGTCCCCTTGGGTTTGGGAAATGGGCAGCAGCTGGTGGGAAGCCCTGAGCAGGTTAAGGGTAGTCCTGGGAGGGGAGAGGAAAGAGGACAAGAGCTGAGGTTGTGCGTTCCTGACCTAGCTGTGTAGCCGTCACCTGACGTGCAGGTGCTGGGCTGTAGCAAGCAGAGGACTCCCATTTTGGGGGGCAGGAGGTGGCAGCCTGGAGCCAAGGCTGCAGAAGGAAAGGGGTGTTGTAAAATTTATTATAGTAAAATACACATAAAATTTACTATTTTAAGCATTTTTAAGTGTGCAGTTCAGTGGCATTGAGTGCATTCACATTGTCGTGCAAACTTCACTAGCATCCATGGAAGGGTGGCTTTGGAAAGGCAGAGTGAAGATGTCCTTGGGCCTGAGCACAGGCCTGGGCTCCCAGACAGGAAGCAGGGGGCGCCCATAGCTGCTTCCCCAGAACTGGACTCTCCGGTGGGTCCCAGACCAAGCAGGCTGAGCCTTGGGCCAGGGCCAGCTTCCCAACCCCTGCAGAGAGGGTGGGACCTGGCTCTTCCCACTTCGGCGCTGCTCTAGTGTAGTACTCCCCCGCCCCCTGTCCAAGGCTGGCTGCAGGAGGCTGAGAGCCTGGTCCTTCGGGGCTCCTGAGCTTCCTGGGCTCCAAGTGCTTGCTCCTGAGCGTGGGGGCACAGCAGGCCCCAGGTCCTATGCTCTTGTGGGCACAGAAGTTGATGTCATACTGACTGGGATGATGGATGCAGGAGCCTAGACAGACCCAACCCGAATGGGTCCCGGCAGGACAGGGTGCTGAGAGGAGGGCCACGGGAGGGGGCCGGTAGGGTTTTCACCTGCCTTAAGCCTGGCCCTTTGTAAGCATACGGTAACGTGGGAAAGAAACGTTTGTGTAAAGAGAAGCAGCGGGCCTGGCGCTAGCCTGTAATCCTAGCACTGTGGGTGGCCGAGGCAGGAGGATCACTTGAGCTCAGGAGTTTGAGACCAGTCAGAACAAGAGCAAGACCCCATCTCTACAAAAAATAAAAGAATTAGCAGGACATGGTGGTGGCACCACTGATAGTCCCAGATAGTCCCGGCTACTCAGGAGGCTGAGGCGGGAGGCCGTGGTGAGCTGTGATGCCACCACTGCCCTCTAGTCAGGGTGACAGAGTGAGACCCTGTCTCAAAAAAATTAATAAAAAAAGCAGAGGCCGGGCACGGTGGCTCATGCCTGTAATCCTAGCACTCTGGGAGGCCGAGGCTGGAGGATTGCTTGACCTCAGGAGTTCGAGACCAGCCTGAGCAAGAGCGAGACCCTGTCTCTACTAAAAATAGAAAGAAATTGGCCAAACAACTAAAAATAGAAAAAATTAACCGGGCATGGTGGCGCATGCCTGTAGTCCTAGCTACCTGGGAGGCTGAGGCAGGAGGATCACTTGAGCCCAGAAGTTTGAGGTTGCTGTGAGCTAGGCTGACGCCACAGCACTCTTGCCCAGGCAAGAGAGTGAGACTCTGTCTCAAAAAAAAAAAAAAAAAAGCAGGGATACAGGTCAGGAGGCAGCTGCAGTCCTCCCCACCCCTTGGCGGCAAAGAGCCAGGTGGACCAGTGTGAAGGGTCCCCGAGTAGGTCAAGGTTGCAGTGGATTCCAGGCCCTCAGCTTCACCCAGGTTGGATTTCCACCTGAGCCCACATCCAGGGAGGAGCCCCTGCTCTCCTCACCCTTACCTTGGTTCTGGCCAGTGGACTGGGGCCGGCGTACAAGTGATCAGCACCTACTGTGGGTCTGGAGGGTCTCCTAACTCCGCATCCCAGGCTGCTGTAGCGGAGAGGCCCTGCAGCCAGGACAGGCAGCACTTCGGGGGCCTCCCCATTGCCCCAGGGGTCTTTGGCCAGGCCTAGGACTAAGCCTGAGGAAGGGAGGACTGGGAGGCCAGTGCTGGCACCACGGCCTGTGTGGGATCCAGAGCAGGGTAGGGTTCACCCCCGGGGTACGATGAGCAGGCCTTCGGCCCTCACTGGACAGCCAGCTCTGCTGGGGGCTCTGAGGGCTTCCTGGGGGAGGTAGTGCCCAGCTGTGATCCGGGCGGGAAGGAGGGTGGGACTCCTGCCGGGGAGTGGGACCCACACGTGGCCCTGGGTCTAGTGAGGTTCCTGGGCCATGTGTCAGAATAACCTGGAGGACCTAAGACAGGTTGCTGGGCCCCATCTTAGACCTTCTGTTGGTCTGGAAGCGGCTCAAGAATGTACACATTTTTTACTGATACAACACTGACATGAAATTTAGTATTTTAACCATCTTAAAGTATACAGTTTAGTGGGTATACAACACGATGCTGTGCTGTCTAGTTTGCCACTGTGTAGCTTTAGACCATTTTTCATCGCCCCCAAAAGAAATGCCCTCACTGTCAGCGACCACTCCCCATCCTCCCTGCCCCCGCCCCCGCCCCAGACAACCACTACTCTGCTCTCTGTGGATTTGCCTCTTCTGTGCGTTCCTGTGAGTGGAGTCACACAGTATGTGACCTTTCGTGTCTGGCCTCTCGCTGAGCAGGTTTGCGGACCCATCTTCGCTGTAGCGTGCATTAGTGCCACCTCCCGAGGGAACAGTGGCACTGACTGCTGGTCTGAGGGGCCTGGAGCCACTGGACGCTTGTCCTCTGGGGCAGCAGGGGAGGGGACTCGGAGCTGGAGCCCAGCTCCAAACCCTGAGTGAACCTTGAAGACCAGCACACACTGGGCCCTCTGGTGAGGGAACAGGCAGACGCAGTACCTGTTCTGTTTGGGCCTTCGTGTACTCGGTTTATGTCCACTGTACTGTCCCTGCTTGGCCATAGACAGCCCTCCACTGTGCTTCCCCATACACCCACAGGCTGTCCCACTGCTGCCCCTGGGCACTCGCCAGCTTCTGAACCTGGGGCACAAGGTCTGCAGACACTACTGGCACGTGCAACTTGCGGACAAATGCCAGGTACAGCCTGGTGTGGAAGGGGCGGGCACTGGGAGGGCTGTCCCCAGGGCTCCTGGGGGGTCTCAGTTTCCAGAGCATCCTGAGGTGACCATCCAGCCTTCTGCTTGTGGTCTGCTCTCCCTCCCTCCCTGCTGCCCCACCTGCATCTCCCACTGCACCTGCTTCCCGCTGCACCTGCTTCCCGCTGCACCTGCTTCCCGCACTGCCTCCTCTCAGACCTTTACCTGGCGGGGTCAGCGAGGAGGGAGCAGGTCCTGCCCGCTGGGAGGTTCTGCGAGGGGGCGTCCATAAGGGACAGGGCCGCCTAGCAAAAGGGGCATAAAATTAATCATGGCAGTGACATCCCATCCCCTTCACCAAATTCTCTGGGTTAACGGCAAGTCACGGCACCCACTAGGATGGCCGCAATGTAGAAAAAAGTGTTGGTGAGGATGCGGAGAAATTGGAACCCTCAAACCTTGCTAGTGGGAGTATAAAACAGTACCGCCGCTGTGGAAAACAGTCTGGCAGTCCCTCAAAAAGTTAAACAGAATCACTGTACGACCCAGCAATTCCACTATACACCCAGAAGAATTGAAAGAGGAGCTCAAGTGCTTGTACGTACCTGTTTTTAGTACCACTATTCAGAATAGCCCAAAGGCAGGAACAACCCAGCATCTTTCAACAGACAATGAACAAACACGCGGTACATCCACACAAAGGAATGTTATTTGACATAAAAGGGAATGAAGTTCTGACACATGCTACAGCACGGATGAACCTTGAAAACGTTACGCTAAGTGAAATGAGCCAGACACAAAAGACCACGGGTTGTCTGATTCCATGTACAGGAACTGTCCAGAGTAGCTGTACCCATTCAGAGTGGAGTCGTGGTCTTCAGGGCTGGGGCTCGTGAGGGGAGTGGGAGTGATGGGTAACGCGTGCAGGGTTTCCTTTGGGGCAGTGGGAAAGCGCAGGAGCTGGATGGGGGTGAAGGTACCAAGTGCTGCTGGACTGCACACTGAGAACTGGCTGGTTCGGGCACGTTCTCAACTGTGGAAGAACAAAATGGTCGAAAGTGTAAATTTTATGTTGTGTGTATCTTGCCATATTTTAAAAAACAAACTCCACACTGGAAAGGAGGCGACTGCACTGCACGGGTGTGAACATCACGGGGTGGATGCACAGGGGCCACCTTAGCATCTGTCCCCACCGGTTATTAACGACACTTCTTTGCCTCTGTGCTTTTTGTCTTTAAGTCTATCGGTCTGATCTTTATCCTTTGTTTTGGTCAATTAAGTCACTATAATCAATGTATTTAACAATATGATTAGTTTTATTGCTACTACCTTCTTATGTTCTAATGTGTCCCCCACCCAATCCCTGTGTTTGAGGAAAGGAGGGAATTACCCTGTGGGTGTAGCGGTCTGGGGTCCCAGCTTTTTTTTTGAGATAGGGTCTCACCGTTGCCCAGGCTGGAGTGTAGTGACATCATCATAGCTCACTGCAAACTCAAACTCCTCGGCTCAAGCCATCCTCCCGCCTCCGCTTCCTGAGTAGCTGGGACTACAGGGCACACCACCATGACCAGCTAATTTTTAAAAAATTTGTGTAGAGATGGAATTCTGCTGTGTTGCCCAGCCTGGTCTTGAACTCCTGGCCTCAAGTGATCCTCCAACCTCTGCCTCCCAAAGCTGGGATTACAGGCATGAGCCACCATACCCAGCCTTGTTAGCTTTTTGATGCTTTTAAGATTTACAAAATTTTTCTACTGAAAGAAAGCTGCAAAAAAAAAAAATTTTTTTAATTGTATCCAGTTTTTTGGTCATGCAGGAGTGAAATTGTAGCCTCTTCCCCCAGGGGGCCCTGAGCAGGCAAAGTCTTAGAGCCACTAACAGGGGCCCAGAGGCCTGAAGGAGGAGGGAGGTAGAGCCAGCAGGGAGCTGTATGTATGACAAAAAGATCACCTCCCAAAAAACAAAGACAGAAGAAATGGGCAAGTAATTGCAATGAATAATTGGTCTAAGAGGTCTTCTACACCCCGTACTACTCTGAGATAAAAAATAAAAACAACGAAAAAAAGGTAATAAAAAACATCCTAACAGTGAAAAATAAAAAGTCTTCTACAGGTTTGCAGAAGAATTCTGTAAGCAACGCCATGGCGGGAAGACAGGCAAAAACACACATGGGCAGTTCACACAGCAGATGGAGACCACAAGCATAGATGGGCCTTCACTAATCATCTTCGAATAGCCGTAAGCCCCCGATGATGAAGAGTAGTCAGGAACTGGGGCTCTGGCCTCCCGCTGATGAAATTACAGTGAAGGCAGTTTCGGCTATTGCCGAAATAGCAACGGGCACACCCTTTACCCCAGAAATTCCATATCCATAAAAATTCCTCAAGCTGGCCGGGCGTGGTGGCTCACGCCTGTAATCCTAGCACTCTGGGAGGCCGAGGCGGGTGGATCGCTCAAGGTCAGGAGTTCGAGACCAGCCTGAGCAACAGCAAGACCTCGTCTCTACTAAAAATAGAAAGGAATTATCTGGACAACTAAATATAGAGAGAGAAAAAAAAATTAGCCGGGCATGGTGGTGCATGCCTGTAGTCCCAGCTACTCGGGAGGCTGAGGCAGGAGGATCGCTTGAGCCCAGGATTTGAGGTTGCTGTGAGCTAGGATGACGCCATGGCACTCTAGCCCGGGCAGCAGAGTGAGACTCTGTCTCAAAAAAAAAAAAAAAAAAAAATTCCTCAAGGAAGTAATTATGTATGTTTGTGTGTACAATTTTAGCTACAAATATTCAGGGCAAGGTGTTCTGCAAGTTATTTGTAAAAACGAAAACCACATAGACCTATGTGAAAAATTACACCTCAATCACTTTCCTTTTCTGGGATTATATAAAGGGGTGGCAGTTGCCTTCTCTGTCCCCGTAGTCCCACACCCATGGAAAACTGCCAACATTCAGTATGTGTTATTTTCAACTTTTCTTGTGACTACATTAATAGAAAGATGGATTTATGCTCTATACGTTGGCCTGCAGTGTGTTCTGTTACATGACTGTCTTGGCATGCTCCATATCTGTGCTCAGAGATTAATTCTCTGTAAAGGATACACGGTGTTCCCTCGTGTGACTCTACGAGAATTTGTTTAACCTGTCTCCTAATGATGAATGTGTTGGTTGTGCAACATATTTTTTATTTTTATTTTTCTGCTCTAATAAACAGTTTTGCAAAGAATATCCCTATACATACATCTTCATATATGTATGCCACTATTTTCTGTAGGATAAATTCCCAGAAATAGGATTGCAGACTTTCAGAGTATGCACTTTTTGGATTTAAAAGATAAAACCAGTGGTGTGTTGTCTCATGTTAAATTTTCAGTAATTTTGAAAACCAGTTGTTAAACACAGCCACTATTAAAAATTAAATCATATTCATTTACAAATAGATCATATTAAAAATAAAAGTAATAAATACCAAAAACTCATTGCTTCCTAATTATGTTACTACATTTCACTATTATCTATGTTCTTATTACCTATGTTTATGTCTCTTGTATCTGGAGAGTGGAAATACAATACAATGGCAGCTACTATGCCTCTCGTCCTAATTTCCTGTTTGGTGAACCACATTGATAGCTTGAAATCAACCATGGTGGCAGTATTTACAACATGGAAATTGTTGAATGCTACAAGTCATCTCCCCTCCCCCTCTTCCAGAGTACCACTTAAACATTTACCAGCTCACACTGTATACAACTGAGTTACCTTCCTAAAAATTTTAATTTGCATGGCTCTGAGTATCATTGCAAATGTCTATTGGCCATTGGGATACTGTGAGTTGCCTGTTTATCCTTTGGCTTATTTTTCTGTCAAGTTGACAAGTAAAATAATTTGGAGGTCCATCTTGTGTCATAGGGATAATAACCTTTTTCTGCTACATGTAGCAAATATTTTCCCATTTCTCTTTTAACATTGCTTATGATCTTTTTTGTCCTCCCTGTATTAGTTCGGGATCTCCAGAGAAACAGAACCAACAGGGTATATGTAGATATAAAGAAAGAGATTTATTTTGAGGGATTAGCTCACACAACTGGGGAGGCCAAGAAGTCTCATTATGTGCTATCTGCAAGCTGGAGGCCCAGGGAAGCGGGTGGTGTAGTAGTTCCAGTCCAAACCTAAAGGCCCAAGAACCAGGGGAGCTCATGGTGTAAGGAAGACCTGAGAACCAGGAGCACTATGTCCAAGGGCAGGAGAAGACGGATGTCCCAGCTCAAACAGAACAAATCCAACCTTCTGCCACCTTTTTGTTCTATCTGGGCTCTCAGTGGATTGGGTGAAGCCCACCCATGTAGGTGAGGGCCATCTTTACTCAGTCTACCAAGTCAAATGCTAATTTCTTCCAGAAGCACCCTCACAGACACACTCAGAAATAATGGGACACCAGCCATCTGGGCAGCCGCCCAATCAAGTTGACACGTAAAATTAACCATCGCAGTCCCTATACTGTTTTTTCTATATATATAGTCCAATCTCTCCACTTTTTCTAAGTGTCACTTTGAGGTGCCATTTCTGAATGTGTCTAGTGGACCTGACAGGCTGCACATTAAATGTCCCAGCTCTGGGGGTGGCCCGTGCCTGCCCCGTGGGCGGTATGTCCGTGCGCCACGCTTGTGCTCTTGGAGCTGACTTCCGCATCGTGACCGTCGGCCGTGTGCCAAGCAGGCACTGAAGGGACGTTGGATACACCGGACCATTCCGGGCCTGGGGTACACAGGCGCAGTAAGAGGAGTAGTTATTTTCTGAAGTTTCTGCAGTGACCGTGATTGATTTTATGAGGAAAAATGTAAAAAAAGAGGAAAAAAAGCTCCAGCTTCTCTCTCTGTAGAGGTGTGGGGTGAAGACAGGGTTCTGGGCCGGTTCCGGGACTGGACCCGCCTCCTCCCACCACAAGGCTTTCGCCGCAGTTCCCAGTTCCCGCCACAGGCGCTGCGCGGTTGTGCAGGGGCCCCTGCGCCGGCAGGGGGCGCCGCTCCCCCATGTTCCCAAAGGCTGTGCCCGCGGTCCCGACCCGCGCGCCATCCGCAACGCCGCCCTCCGCTCCAGGTGGGCGAGGGTTCTTGCGATGGCACCAGGCCCAGCTTCCCCGGACCTGAGGTGAGCCCGAAGGAGGACGAAGGGGACAGCCCTGGGGACGGGCAAGGATGGGGACCGGGGCTGCCACCCGGGGCAGCCTGTGACCCCCACCTACTGCCCGGCTCCTGAGGGGCCGAAGTCGCAGGCCTGTGCCCCAAGGGGCACGGTGTGTCAGGCGGCGTTCGCGACATGGGACTTGGGACCAGATGCTCGAGGTCTGTCGGCGCTGGGGGCGGCCTGCACGCCCTCCGGTCGCCCCCGCGGAGGGGCAGGACAGGGCGCGCCCCAATCCATCATTTGAGGGGCCGGAGGCTCAGGCCTCTCCCCGACCCCCACCCTTCCCTTGGGAGGGCGGCACCTTCCGCCCTCGGTCGCGTCCTGCCCCCAGAGAGAACACGAGCACTAGGCTGCGGCCTTGGGGGGCTTTACTGAAACACTGGGGCCTCAGGGGAGGGGGCGGCTGGGGGGTCCCGCGACCACCCACCCCGGTTTAGCGATATTTGGAGGCCAGTGCCGAGATCACGTGGCTCAGAAACTTGTCCAGCGAAGCCTGCATGGCCGGGCTGAAGTCTCCGGGGAAGTGCCGGGCGAGGGTCACCAGCAGACAGTGGCACAGGAGCTGCGGAGACAGGGGTGGCTCACCCGTCCCCCCACACCCTGCCCCGATGGGACCCCACCCCGCAACAGCGGGTCCAGCCCGGCTGGCCGCTCACCTGGAAGCTGGCCAGGTCCACGCGCAGCTTGCGCGCGTGCAGGTCGCTCAGAGCAGACAGGGCAGTGGGCAGGTCACTGGCCAGGTCCACGCGCAGCTTGCGCGCGTGCAGGTCGCTCAGAGCCGACAGGGCGCCGGGCAGGTCGTCCAGGTGGTCGACGGCGAGGGTCAGCGCATCCGCCACCTTCTGGCCGTGGGCTTTGACCTGGGCGGAGCCAGGGCTCAGGTCCAGGTGGGGGAAGTAGCTCTTGGTGGAGGGGAAGACCAGGAAGGTCCTGGGGAGGAACGGAGGCTGAGGCGCATGCGGGCGCCGGGAGCGGGGCGGCAGGCGAGCCAAGGGAGGGCGCCCAGCCTCGCCCGCACCTCTCCAGGGCCTCGGTCGTGTAGACGCCGACGTTGTTGCCCAGCTTCTTCCAGAGGGCGCGCACCAGCGCCCGGTCGGTCGCAGACAGCGCCATCCCGGCGCGCCCGTTCCGCTGCGCCCGCGTCTGCGCCGTCCGCACCCGCGTCCCCGCCGAGAGGCCCAGGGGTCCCCCCGGGCCGCGAGGGGGCGCCGCGCCGCGCTCCGGCTCCGACCTGGGGCCCTCTGACTCGCCCTGGACCCTGATGCCCTTCATTGTTAAGTGTTTACTGTATGAAAAATAATATTAACATGTATTATCATTATGAGATAACACTGAATTTTGGCATGGATTTGGGCATTGGAAATCAGTTAATTCTGCCTCAGAGTCTATTTTCTTATTTTCTGTATAAAACGAGGATAGCAATTTCTTGGGGTTGCCATGAGAGTTAAAGGGATGGCAAATGTCAGGTGACTGGCTCATACCAAACGTTCCTTTCAGGACAATGAATATTGATCGAATGTATAGGATGTATCCCAATAATAATAGCAGATACCCATGCAGCACTCACTCTGTGCCAGGTACCACTCTATATCTTTCTTTAAAAAAATGTGCTCAAATTCGGATAGTATAAATTACAATTTTAGCCATTTTTAAAAGTGTACAATTCAGACATTAAGTACACGCGCACTGTTGTGTAACCTTTACCACTCTCTAGTTAAGAACTTTTTCATCATTCCAGACAGAAACTAGCTGTAACTCCTCAACCCCCTTCCTCCAGACCCTAGCAACCAATAATTTGCTTTTTTTCTCTGTGCATTTGCTTGTTCTGGGTATTTCATGTCGTGCGGTCACACAGTATGTGGCCTTCTGTGTCTGGCTGCTTTCATCGAGCATGATGTTTTCAAGTTTCAGCCACATCCTACCTGCAGTTCATTCCCTCTCGTGGCGAAATAACGTTCCACTGTGTGTATACACCACATTTTGCTTACCATTCATGCACTGACGTACACGTGCTGTGTTTTGACCTTTATCTCAGGCCTCCATTTTTCCCAACAAAAGAATGAAGATGGCCTCTTACTGACAGTTCGTATGTGCCACAAGCTGTGCTAAGGGCATCACAAACGGACGCAGAGGGCCTGCCATTAAATATTTTCCAAGGAGGATTCTTGGGCCCAGGGAAGAAAGGACATTGCTCTCAGTGGAGGGCTGGGGCTGTATGGCCGCCAGGCCTGGGCACCCTGAGCCTTCCCTCCGATGCCCCAGGCACTGGGGGCCTGACTGACAGAGAGGAAGCACATTGAGGGGGGCAGGCCTCCCTGGCCTCGGATGCCTCTCCACTGCCCTACTTGGGCAGGGCCAACAGCCTCAGGCCAGCTGAGAGGGTGCTGGGCTGGGTCCCGAGACTGGGCCTCTTGACCTTGATTGCCCCAGGACATCAGCGTCTGAGAGTGAGCATCGTCCTGGGGTGGCACTAGGGTAAAAGGGGCACCTTCAGAGAATTGTCTCACATCTGCAATTGCATCACCCACTCCCAATTTCTTCTAGACTCTGCAAGTATTTGGGAGGCTTTAGGGAGTCTAGCAGGGGAGAGGGGTGATTCAGCCCAGCTGGAAAGGAGTGGGACCTCCTTGGCCTCCCCACATCTGGCAGGAGCCCTAGGAGAGCTGGTGGTCCCAGACTGGAGGCCAGCCAATTCTTAGTGCAAGTGTGTGTGTGTGCCCTGAAACGTAAAGGGGGGGGGAACGAATTCATGACTTCAGCAAATGTCCATTGAATCTGCAAGTCCCGGACTAAAGCGCAGGAAGGGGAAAATAAACGCAGAAAAGCACTCCAGGGTCACCCGGTTTTCCACTGTATCCTCAGCAGTGACCTCTGGACAGCTCAACTCCCCTCTCTTCCCACCCTTCCTGTCCCCTGCTTTTTCCTGTCCTCACCTGCTGCAGAGATCCTTAGAGTTCCTGCCCCAGATACTGCCCACCCCCAACCCTGGCACCTTCCTGACAGAGAGGACTCAGGCACACAGGCTGCCACCCACTCAGACTTTATTCAAAGACCAGGGGGTGCGGTGCGGAGAGGGAAGAAGGGCGAGGCCCAGAGGCCCAGGGGCAGGGGGCACAGGTCACCGAGGCTCCAGTTAACGGTATTTGGAGGTCAGCACGGTGCTCACCGCAGCAAAGAACTTGTCCAGGGAGGCGTGGACCGCAGGGGTGAATTCCGCCGAGTGGTGGCTGGCCAGGGTCACCAGCAGGCAGTGGCTCAGGAGCTGCGGAGAGGGAGTGTCAGGGCGCGTGGGGGCCACAGCCTGCAGCCTGTGCTCCCCCTTGGAAAACTCGCCCGCACCCTGCCCCTGAGGAAGGCTTGCTGCCCTCCATCCCCAGGTGTCTCCTCCCCAGCCGGCTGGCTGCTCACCTTGAAGTTGACCGGGTCCACACGCAGCTTGTGTGCGTGCAGGTCGCTCAGAGCAGACAGGGCAGTGGGCATGTCATCGAGGTGGTTCACGGCGTTGCCCAGTGCGTCGGCCACCTTCTTGCCGTGGGTCTTGATCTGGGCGGAGCCGTGGCTCATGTCGAAGTGGGGGAAGTAGGTCTTGGTGGTGGGGAAGGACAGGAACATCCTGCCGGGTGAAGCAAAGCGTGAGGGGTGGGGCTAGGTCCAGGGCAAGGGCAGTGAGGGGTCGCCGGTGGGCCCCGGGCGGGTGTTGGGCTCCAGGTCGGAGCAGGGAGAGAAGGGTCCTCACCTCTCCAGGGCCTCCGCGCCACGCTCGCCAGCATGGCTGCCAATCGCTTTCCAGGCGGTCTTGATGTTGCTCTTGTCGGCAGCAGACAGCACCATGGTTGGTTCCCTCTGAGTCTGGGTCAGGACCAGAAATGCGCCCGGCGGGCAGCGCGCCGCGCCTTTATGCCCCGGGCACGCGGGGCGCACCCAGCCGGGCTGTGCCCATTGGCTGGCGCGCAGCGGGCGCCGGGGACCGCAGGGACGTGAGGGGCGGGGTCACCTCTCGGAAGCGCGTCCTCGCCCACCGCGGAGGGCCGGGCCTGGGGGGGCGGGCACGTCGGCTCCCCGTCTCGCATCTGGGCCTTCGGGTGCTGAGCGTCCCCGTCCCACCCGCCGCGGGCCTGAGCTCGGCACGCGCTGGCCGTGTGTTAACTGGGGCGGAATCGAGGGAGGAGTGGGCAAGTGCGCGGGAAGGAAGGAAGGCTGCGCCCCGTCGGGGCGGAGAGAGACGCGCGCACAGGGACGCTGCTGCCCGCGCGTGCTCAAGAATTCCTGCCGGCGTCCCTCCTGCTCTCCTTCGGCCTCGGGTCCTCCAGCCCCCTTTCTTTCCACGAATAGTCATCGAGTGTGATTGAGTGACGGTCACAGGGAAGGAACAGATATCTATTCAGGCGCAAAATTCACGGGCCGAGGGTGGGTGGCTCCAGATTCAAGCTCCTTTCCCCGGGGTGGTGTTTGCTGCAGCCCCAGGTCATGAACTCACAGGGGTGCCCCCGCAATTCGAGGCCTCTGTGTGATTGTGTGAGTGCCTGTCTCTTTCCCCCCTGGCCCAGTGGTCTTGGTTCAGGACTTGCAGGGAAATGGTGGTTAAGTTGATAAACAACAGGCTGAACAAGGCCTGAGCATTCAACCTGAGGGACACAGGCAGTCCTCAAATCACAGGAGCACACAGACCATCGTGAAGCTTGCTAGAGGCCTTGGTGAGGTTGAGGGGACCTGGGTTAGTCTGAGGATCAGGGTGGGCTTCCTGGAGGAGGTGAGACAAGGATAAGTATTAGGCGGAGTAGGGGGAGGCTTGGCTTCAGAGTCGGGGAAGGATGGGGAGAGAAGGGCCCTGTGGCTGGAGAATGGAGGTGGGGAGATTGGGGGTGATGAGGCTGGCCAGAGCCTGCAGGGTGAGTAAGGGAGTGCCTTGTGGTGCAGCCGTGAGAAGGGGCAGGTGTCCGCTAGTACAGTCCCTGCTAGTGAAGAGGGTGGTTCCTAGGACTAGTGGGGGGCGGAGGGTACGGAGGAGGAAAGGGGGTGAGAAGTATTGGTACGTCCTCCCACGTGTGCAAGGGTGGGCTTGCTCTGGGGTCCGGGCTGGGCTGGAAGTGCTGTTCCCAGGGCAGCTGCGGAGCCAGGTGGGGTGTGCAACATCCCACTGCAAAGCCCAGGACTACAACACCTGGACAGCGACCTTTCCAGAAGTTGCTCACAGCACTCCTAGCAGAAGCACTGGGAGATCCCAGAGGCCTTGGGGAGGGGGACCAGAGAAAGGGGATAGTGAGCTGGGGGGGCACAGGGATGGGCGCTCAGTGGGCTATTAATGTACCGTATGAAGTGCAGGAGCAAGAGGGCAAGGTACTCTGCTAATGAGCTTCCCCAAGTGCAGGTGGTCTGCTATGCACAGCTCGTCCCCCTCTCTCCTTCCCCGACTCCCCGGCTGCTTTCCCGGGTTACTGTGACAGAGGAAGTGTAGTGGGGCCAGGACACTCACCCCAACCCATATCTTCTGGCAGGAGGACTGGTGGGAATCAGGGAAATCAGGCACCTGCCTTTGCATCAGGAAGAGCCTATATTTGTTGATTTTGCTTTGCTTTGTTTTCATCTAGAGTGTGTTTAACTGAGCTCAGTCAGGGAGATTTCAAAGGAGGATGTCCCTCTTAGGACTCCCTACGTCTTTCCCCTAAAAGGAACTCTGGATGTCCTTCTCTCCTCCCCAGGTCCTGAGCCACTGCCTGCTGGTCTGGCACCTCCCAGACAGGAGATGGTTGGCACCGTCTCTGGAGCAGAACCCTCAGTTCTCCTCCCTCCTTTTTCAGTGCTCTCCCCTCCCCCATGCAGCTACAGAGAGGTCCTTGGTCTGAGATAAGGAGAAACACCCCCAACCCTGGCACCTTCCTGACAGAGAGGACTCAGGCACACAGGCTGCCACCCACTCAGACTTTATTCAAAGACCAGGGGGTGCAGTGAGGTGCAAAGAGGGAAGAAGGGCCTGGCCCAGAGGCCCAGAGGCCCAGGGGCAGGGGACACAGGTCACCGAGGCTCCAGTTAACGGTATTTGGAGGTCAGCACGGTGCTCACCGCAGCAAAGAACTTGTCCAGGGAGGTGTGGACCACAGGGGTGAATTCCGCCGAGTGGTGGCTGGCCAGGGTCACCAGCAGGCAGTGGCTCAGGAGCTGCGGAGAGGGAGTGTCAGGGCGCGTGGGGGCCACAGCCTGCAGCCTGTGCTCCCCCTTGGAAAACTCGCCCGCGCTCTGCCCCTGAGGAAGGCTTGCTGCCCTCCATCCCCAGGTGTCTCCTCCCCAGCCGGCTGGCTGCTCACCTTGAAGTTGACCGGGTCCACACGCAGCTTGTGTGCGTGCAGGTCGCTCAGAGCAGACAGGGCAGTGGGCATGTCATCGAGGTGGTTCACGGCGTTGCTCAGTGCGTCGGCCACCTTCTTGCCGTGGGTCTTGATCTGGGCGGAGCCGTGGCTCATGTCGAAGTGGGGGAAGTAGGTCTTGGTGGTGGGGAAGGACAGGAACATCCTGCCGGGTGAAGCAAAGCGTGAGGGGTGGGGCTAGGTCCAGGGCAAGGGCAGTGAGGGGTCGCCGGTGGGCCCCGGGCGGGTGTTGGGCTCCAGGTCGGAGCAGGGAGAGAAGGGTCCTCACCTCTCCAGGGCCTCCGCGCCACGCTCGCCAGCATGGCCGCCAGTCGCTTTCCAGGCGGCCTTGATGTTGTTGATGTTGTTCTTGTGGGCAGCAGACAGCACCTTGGTTGGTTTCTTTTGAGTTTGGGTCAGGAGCAGAAATGTGCCCAGCAGGCAGAGCTCCAAGCCTTTATGCCCAAGGCGGGGGCTCAATGCCCCTGCTGGGCTATGCTTATTGGCTCAGTTGGTGCTATAGAGGGGCCCAGCCCAGGAAAGTGTGGAGCAGAGGGAGTAGGGTTGGGCGGGTTGGCCAAGGCCGCTCTGTGTCTCTTGGTCCTGCCCCTGCAGAGACCCTGTTGTGTTTCCCATGCGTCTCCACCCAAAATGCCCCCACATGTGACCCAAACCCAGGGCAGCTTGGGGGTGCCTATTTGTTGGGCTGAGGAGAGAAGCGCAGTCCTTTCCAAATTGAAACACAAGCCACTTTTGCACCAAACTTCGCATAGCTATTATTATTAATAATTATCCGTGTAAACAGTGGAGGTGAAGGAGGTAACATGGGGTCAAGTTCTCCAAGCTCTCCTCTCCCCACTGGTGGACTGGTGCTCCCAGGCAGCGCAGGGTAACAGGTTGCTGGCACCAATTGCGGGGGCAGTTCAGCCAAACTGTCTCCAGGGCCCAGCTTCCAGCACCCGTGTTCAGACCTGGGCACTGACTGCCTGGCAGGCCGGTGCTCCCACACAGACCTTCAATTGTCCAGCGAGGAACTGTCCTCATTCAGAGTTTGTAAGTTCCCGGTCCTCATCACTCCTCAGCCTTGTCTGCAAAGCTGGGTGGAGTCCTACGATTCTTGCTCCTGTCCTGCCTGGGGAGAGAGGAGGGCGACCTGGGGGAGTTGGGCCTTGGCCAGGGGACCTGCATACTGAGATGCAGCAGCTGGGCTGCGCAGGCGGGTGGGGTGGCTATGAGCCTGCCAGGCACTCACCCTTCACTACAATCTCAAAGATCTAGTGAGTCTGGTATTGTTTTTTCATCTGTTGGGTGAGGCTCAGAGAGCTCAGGGACATGCCCAGGGTCATACAGCTTGTCGGTGTGAATCAGCTGGAGCTGTGCTGTCTGCCAAATTGTGGCTACTGAGGACTTCCTCCCCGCTCTCCCCCAACATGTCATGCGGTTTGGAGGAAGCAGTTGACTTGGCTAGCACAGGTTTGCTGCAGAGTGAGCATGTCCCAGGGGAGGAAGTAGAAAGGAACAGGGTGAGGATAGGAGGAGCCCAGGCCCCAGTTCCGCTTGGTGTGAGGTCACATACTTGGCCCTGGGGCCTCAGCGCCCTCCTCTCTGTAAAAGGGGTGAGGGTTCCCATCACCAGGTGCCAGCGTGCAGTGGGGACGCGGGAACAGTGAGTGAAGGAGTGAACGCAGATGTGCTTTTCCAGCCTTGCATGGGCAGGTGCCGGATTTGAGTTGAAGAGGAAGGCACTCTCCCTCCTCAATCTGAGCGCTTCTCTGCCCTGTGGCACTCCCCTGCCACAGCGGAGCACACCTTTGCTGCAGGCATCAAAGAGTTCTAGGAGGCTCCCTGCAGAGGGGAATCAAACTTCTCTACAGAGTAACAGTGAGGCCACCTTGCCCGCTCCCCAGAGACCACACACACACACACACACACACACACACACTCAGGATCCAGATGTTTGAAGCCTCTGTTTATTGACAGGCACAGACCAAGGTCTGCAGGTACAGGTCTCAGAGGTACTTTTCGGTCAGCACCACAGCCACGCCATTTAGGAACTTGTCCCATTCGGCGTGCATCTCCACTGTGAACTCTCCTCCGGGTGGGAGGCCAGCACCACCTGGAAACACTGGATTAGCAGCTGCCGAAGACGGGGCCAGTGAGAAGGCGTCTGCCCCCCACCAACTCCTCCCTGAACCTCACCCCACCCCGACTCTGGGCTGCTGCTGCTGGGGCGCGCTGGACCCTTACCCTGGCCCGAAAGGGCCCGAACCTCAAAGTTGGCCGGGTCCACACGCAGCGCAGCGTGTGCGCTGTAAGTTAGCCAGCGGGCTCAGAGCAGCGCGCAAATTGTCCGTGTGCTGCACGGCCGCACCCACCGCCGCGAGCGTGCGCGGCTCGTGGCTAACCAGCTGCAGCTCGTGCAGACAGGCGCCCAGGTGCGGGAAGGAGGCCTTGGTCCTGGGGTGCACTGTGAAGAGCTTTCAGGTCGCGAGCGGCCAGGGCGGCTACGTGCGGTTTCACTAACGCCGGCACCAGCCAGAGCCCTGGGGACGCCCGCCTGGCTTGTGTAGGTCCTGGCGGTCTACGAGCCAGCACCCCTGTCTCACCTCCCTGAGGTCCCGGAGCGCGCCCCCACACACCTGAGCCACAGCTCCGCCCGGAACCGCGCCTCTTGGCGCGCGGTCAGGGCCCAAACCTGCGCGACTTGGGCTCTCTCCTGGGCGCCTAGCATGCCGCCGGCCTGACGCGCTCGGGGGTGCTGCGCCCGCCACCCTGGCCCCCGTATAGGGCCCTCCCCGGGTGCCCCTCTCGCCCGTATGGGCCCGAGCGCGGCGGGAACTCGGGGACTCTCAGCTCCTGCGGAGAAACGTACCCAGCGCGGTCCCCGCCGACCTGGAGGCCACGACCTCGCGGATCCCTGCGTTTCTGGCACCGCTGTGCGTGGGCGCCTTCGCTGCAGCCTGTAGCGGGGGTCTGTAATTACTCCCCTCAGATAAAGTTCTGCCAGGAGGGAGCTCATGGAGGGAACCAGGGAAAACACAGGGCAGGAAGCCCCCTGTTCCCTTAGGGGTTGGGAGGGGAACAGCCTCAGGGACCTCCGCAGCTGCCAGAGTCGCGGGAGTTAGGACCACAGTCTGAGTAACGTCCCTTGATTCCCGACACGCTCCCTATACGCTGATTGAAGTGACAATCTTCGGGCGGTTTGGGAAGCTGCAGAGAGGTGCAAACGCGCTTCTGACCCAAGGACCCGTGGAGACCCTGTGGCCCGGCGCAGGGCTGCGCTGCTCCCTCCGGGCTGCAACTCTGGGGTCCTCAAGGGGAAGCACCTCCCCAAAGAGCCCTCGAAGCGTCCTCCAGGCCAGGGATGGCTCCAGGGTCAAACGCGTTCCTGCAAACCTCCCAGCCCATTCCTCGGCTCCCCACCCCGACACTGAGAACGCAGAACCCAGACAGCTTCCTCCTCTTCCTTTATTGGGGAGTCCGTGGAGGAACAGGGGGAAGAATGAGGGGCAGAGGAGGGGTCGCTGCCTGTTCTGGGGGTCTGGGCAGCGGCGCTCAGCGGTACTTCTCGGTCAGGACAGAGGACACGACGGACATGAACTTGTCCCAGGCGGCGTGGGCCTCGGCCGAGAAGTCGGCGGGGAAGCGCGCGGCCACGGTGACCAGCAGGCAGTGGGACAACAGCTGCGGGGCGCG